TTTTGAGGTTGTTGTAGATGGTTGTAGGTTGTTTTAGGTGGTTTTAGGTTGTTCCATGTTTTAGTACTTACCTAAAAAGCTATGAAGCAGCTTTGTTCCTATTATTTTAAAATAATTTTTGTCTGGATAGTCAATTTACAGGGGAAAAAAAGTGTCAAGTCAACACAAAAATTGTAGGTTGATTTTTTTGTAATGTTCATAACAGAGTTTAACCAAAAAATTTTGGAAGCCTTTGTTAAAGAAAGGAAAGTTTCTTTTCTGCTGGTCGCGTACCCTGTGAGGAATGTTTGTGCAAATTATACATTGAAAACTGTGCAAAATAAGTAATTGTTAAGGAAACTAGTTTCCAAGAAATTGGTCTATGAATGTAATGTCTGTAACATAGAATTGCCCTCATGATTCTCGAAGTCATGATGCATGGCACATTTCGTTTCAAAGAAACAGGGGTCAAAGTGACTTTTAAGACTTTATTATGTCCTTACAATCATAGAAAAATTGTGCTGGTGGATTTTACTGATAAAAATAGAATCTTAGATATGGTTAATGATAGAACTGAAGTGTTTATTGAGTAAGGTGTAGAAAGAGATGAATATATGTAATGAAAGATTTCAAAATTGAATGCTGGTCCAGCTTGTAACACAAGCATGCATATGAATGGGTGATTTTTTTTCTATTAATAGCATAAACAATAACTTTCTATTAAGCTGTTGTTTCTTAGCTCTGCCTGAACAGTTAATGAGCTAGAGTGATATTCCCTGAGGAGGAAAGTCTGCATAATCTGTGACCAATCAAAGTTCTCTAGAGTACAGTTTGCTACTAATATTACAGATCTGTATATTTTTCAGTACTGTTAGTAAATGTCACGAGAAAAATGGGCATTCTGCACAATGTGTTGGTGTGTTGTGTGTGTGTGTTATCACCTTTGTCCCTGAAATCATATGGAGGGTCACATTTGGTCAGCCTTTGTGAATCATGGTGGTTTTTGTTGTTGTTGTTGTTTTTTTTTTTTAAATTCTCGTTAAATTGTGATAATTATAAATGAATTAAGTGGGTAAGTTTCTAAAGAAACTGTGGTACTGCCTCGGTGGGGGAGTAAACCAGGATAATTTAGTATTATCAATTGAGTTGATAGTGTTTAAAAAGATTACATTTTGAGTGTTAGGCCTTCGTCAGAGCAATTGGGCTGACAAACAAATTGTTAGCTTTTAAACTCGTCACAGTAGCAAATTTACATTATCAATTAACTCAGCTGATAATATGAAATTACTTTGATATAATTATATAATGTTGTGGTTAATACCACTTATAACCTTGGGCACCTGTTAGTGCCCTTATTTGTGACTGTCATTGTCTTTCATAACTGATATATAGTAACTGTTGTTCTGCTGCTTCCCTTTTCAGACTTTCTGACTTTATCCCTGATTCAAGGGTTGTTTTCTTGAACCCAGGAAACTCTATACAAGGTAGGTGGACAAACACTGCTTTTTTTTTTCTCATTTTTGAAAATTGCCTTTGTTTTGTCAATCTGTACTGACCCTTTAATTGCCATGAGTGACCAAGACAGAATTCCTCCTTACAATATCAACACAATATCAACCAGAAAAGTGATGAGAGTGAAGAAAAATATAAATTTGGGGATAATTAGTTGATCCAATACTAAATTCTCTGAACTAACATTATAAGAATTGTATGGTTGGGAGTAAGGAGAATTACAAATTTGATGTGGGAGTTAAAGGGTTAATAATTTATTTGCTGGGATTAATTGTGTCCTGTTTGCATATGTTTAGAATTCTGCATGCTCTCATTTCACTCATGTCTATGTGAGTATTAATTATTTTGCCCCTTAATGTTATGTCAAGAACTATTCATTATATTACTTACCTATTTAATTATGTTGTGATCGATGGTTGTGATTATGTTTGGCTACAAACAAGTGGAAATGCTCTTAGAAAATGTTGCTGAAATTCTGGTGGTCCTTTTAATATACTGCTGGTTTAGTTACTGAGTACAGCTTGGTTTGTAGAGTGCTTCAACTGAAAGTTGACTTATGATCATTAACATAATTGAGAGACTTAATTTTATGCTGATTGAGTCATCTCTTTGGTTCCTGTGTTGGGTGGTCACTGGGTCACTGATTAAGACTTATTAATTTATTTAAAATCAAAGTTTAAGCTCCCCTCCTAAAACAGGAATATGGAAGATCTTGTGCAGAGAGCTGGTTCCATCCTTGACAAAGTACATATGGATTAGAAATTATCACCCCATGCTTGCATGTCATGGGAAATTAGTACATGCATGCAAACTGCCTATCATAGGTTTTGCCAAGTTAAACCTAACTTAAGTCCTTCAAGTTGCCCTTTGGTAATTAGCAGCTACAGGTTAGATTACTTTTGATGATGTTTGTAGCATGTCAAACGACAAAATCTAACCCAATGCTGGACGAATCACAAAGATCATGTAAACAATCCAAAATGTTGTGGATTAGGAGACCCTAAATTGTTTAAAAAATAGTAATCTGAAAGTTGACTTTGCGGGAAATGGCCAAGAGAGGCTGTTTATTTTTGTCCAATGAAAATTATATGAAAATAGCTGGCATGCTGAAAGGTTTAAAATGATTTCAGTAAGACACATGTATTCCTTAAGTCTCGCCAGAGGAACAAAACTAATAGAACTCAACACAAAGAAGAACTTGCAGAGAGGATTTTTTCCAAAATGGGTGTACTTTGTAAATGAGAGCAAGTAATATTATTTTGTTATGGACATTACATAACGTTGGTAACAAAAACAGTCCTCTTTTTTTGTTTCTCTGAAATTAAAAACCAGTTTTTTTTGTCAGTTTGGCTCCTTTTTTACTTTCTAGGGGCCTATAGCTAAACTTGAGTGTTTTAAATTACCAAAATCCTGGAAAAACACAAGAAAAAATAAAGCCCACATTATAATTATTATGGACATTATGACCGCATGACTTAAATTATGGTAATTCTTTTGGGAGAAATGAATGCTACATGCATACCAATTTTGTTCAAATTTGTCACATCCAAGTTTTCAGTGCTTTTGACTTAATACTAATAACAATAACCATAACAACAGCTGTACATTAGCAATATCAACACCATGCTTACATGAGGAGTATAAATTTTCAAAAAGTCTAAGTCTAAGTATGGATTAAGTTTACAGTTTTCCCCTTTTCAGGCAGTAACTGGTAACATTTACTGCCTGTGGTACCTCTTATTACCATTTAAAATTGCTTGGAATTCTTGAAATTTAAAATGTAAATTAAAGGATTGCTTTACCAGTTTTAAAATTTATTTTACCTGTAATGCTTAAAATAAGGGAGAACACTGAGTTTACTGAAAGACTTATCATATTTAGAGTCAGTACCTTCTTTTATAGTATCTGAAAAAACAAATTAAAATATAACATGCAATGTTTCAGAAATGTAGCTTAAAACAAGCAATATGTCAACTTTCAAAGGCCATTGCACTGATAATACTATAGAGAAAGTTGTCAATTCATACAGTTCAGTGCCTTGTAACTTTCCAAAATAGTATCAACTGGCTTATTGAGAGTCAATGAATAGTACTCTTACAAAAAGTTCAGAACAATCCAAGTTTAGTAATTAAAGCAGTGTTAAACTACTGCAACCTTCGGTTAGTATGATCGTTTATTTGAAAACATTTCTTTTCCAAGATGTTTAAACAGCCTCTCAACACATGAAAGACCTGGAACATTGAAAGGTCCAGTGCCTTTCAGCTCTTTGGAGCCATAGGAGACTCTTCTGTTGTGGAGAATATCAATATTGCTCCTCAGAGGCCAGTGAAATGCTTTGACAACTTGGTGAAGAAATTTGATTTCAACCTCATTATCAGTAACCCTGAGGGCTCTTCCGATGTAAAACTCGGTATCTGCACTAGAAAGCAAGAACCAAAAGACAGCACAAACACCAGTTAGAGCATGCTCAAGAAAACTGAATCATACATAATTTACATTATCAACCCAGCTGATAATATGAAGTTACTGTGATATAATTATATAATGTTGCCGTTAATACCACTTATAACCTTAGAGCACCTGTTAGTGCCCATATTTGTGACTGTTATTGTCTTTTATAACTGATATATGGTAACTGTTGTTCTGCTGCTTCCCTTTTCAGACTTTCTGACTTTATCCCTGATTTAAGGGTTATTTTCTTGAACCCAGGAAACTCTATACAAGGTAGGAGGACTTGCTGCTGCTTTTTTTTCTCTCATTTTTGAAAATTGCCTTCATTTTGTCAATCTTAATTAACCCTTTAATTGCCATGAGTGACCAAGACAGAATTTCTCCTTACAATATCAACACAATATCAACCAGATAAGTAATGAGAGTAAAGAAAAATATAAATTTGGGGATAATTAGTTGATTCAATACTAAATTCTTTGAACTAACATTATAAGAATTGTATGGTTGGGAGAAAGGAGAATTACAAATTTGATGTGGGAGTTAAAGGGTTAATAATTTATTTGCTGGGAATAATTGTGTCCTGTTTCCATATGTTTCTACATGCATCACGATTTGAAATCATTCTCGGTCTCTATTGGCTATCGGGATTTTTTTTTCAAATGGATTTGATCAACATAACACAATGTCAATTCATGTTTGACAGGTCATCCTGGTAAAGTCAGTTTCATGGCTACGGCACCATCGCCATTTGCGTCTACGAAAGAGACTACAAACTATGCAAGGCTATGCCGCCTCCTGGTGGACGTTGGATCTCAAGTGCTCCGGTCCACTTTTGACAAAATACATCCACCAGCGACTCTACATAAAGTTTTGGGAAGTACCTCAGTGCATTACGCTACATTGCAATCACTGTACAAAGGGAAGAAGAAAGTGCTTAATCCCATGCAATGGGGAAGGTTGTACCCTACTCACTCACCCGTGTCTTCTGCAGCCTTCGATATCACACTTCTAACGGTGCTTCTTAGAAATATCTGTGGTTTGGGCCCTCCTGCCAACGGATGGGATCGTCTTCCCTAGCTACAGACATAAGCATCGCAGATGATATCGCCAGAGTGAAGTATTACAGAAACACTGTATGCGGCCATGCATCTCAAGCCTTTGTGGATGACATTAGTTTCAGTGCTTACTGGCAGGAGATACGAGAAGCCTTGGTGAGACTGGGAGGAGCTCATCTTAGAGCTGAAATCGACAATCTTGAGCACGATTGCATGGATCCAGATGTCGAGGAGCATTATCGTGAACTGATGAAACAATGGAAGAAAGACGACGACAGCATCAAAGACAAGCTTGAAGAAATTGAAAGTAAGAAAAATATTGTGTACTGCCAATATGGATGAATCAGAAGACTAGAAAAGTGTATATTTCAGTATTTATTTCAGTTAACACGGCAGTGTAGGCTAGCTCATGATGTTTTAGTTTTAGTCGGAACTAGTTTCATTTTTGCGTTGTGTGCAAAATGAAGAACTAATCCAAATGTTGACACTATGTTTTCATTCGCAGTATTTTTGTCTGTTCGTGGGTACTCGTGTACAACTGTTGGAGTGCGTTTTTGTAATTTCTAAGCGTCTTATTGAGTTTGATCTATTCGGAATCGACTAGATATTGGTATACCTATCATTGTTTTATCTGCACCTAACGTGAAGCTGTGATATAAATTTGCTTATGAAAATGCGCATTTTTTTTTTAATTTTCAGATTCGCTGAAAAACGCGAAAAGCATTATGGAGAGAAACTTCAGAGACACAATTAAGAAGATAGAGATTGAAATGAAAGAGGTGAAAGAAAAGCTGAGTAGTCTGACGGCCTCAGCTGAAAAAAGCGGACAAGAAGGTTAGTTGGTAGAAAGAGCTACTCACAACAAAAAAATTATTAAGAGCGACAATGTTTTCTTGTGTTCATAACGCAGCTCACGTTCATCGCTGGATGTCGGCCAACACAGCATACTTTAGTTCTTTACTAGTGTAAGAACACACCCTACATGAAGGTTCTCTGTAATCCGTGGGATGCCACGGAATCTGAGATTTTCCGCCCTGGCTTCCTCTCGGATTTGATAGTGTTTTAATAGCACTCATACATGTGTATAATCGTAGGCGAGATAGGTTATAGTCTTATTTTAGTATTACCTTTCTTATAATGAACCTAACTTCCTAGAAGCGTTAGATGTGACCCACATATTTCTCAATGAAATAGCCAAATCCTTCCTCCTGGTGTATTGTGGATTATTCAATTCTGCATGGGAAAATAGTTAAATGAGGATCGTCTTGAGTAAAATGGGTTAGAATAAGATGTATGTGGATATTCTACATTTACTTCGAAAAAGACTGTAGGCAAAACTTCCCTCTTTATCGCAGGCGGGTCTCTAGATTTCTACAGCTTTTTTTTTTTTTTTGCATGATGAATCACCGCGGTGTAGGGTAACTCATGATGTTTTCATTTTGGACGGAACTAGTCACGTATTTGGAACATTATTCTTGTGTTATGTATGAAAAATGAAGATTAACCCAAATGGTCACACTGTGTTTTCATTGGCAGTATTTTTGTGTGTTGGTGGGTTCTCGTGTAAAACCACTGGAGTGCATTTTTGTGATTTCTAAGCGTCTTGTTGAGTTTGATCTATTCGGAATTGACTAGATATTGATATACGTATCATTGTTTTATCTGCGCCTAAAAGTGAATCTGTGATGTAAACGTGCGTATGAAATTCCTTTTTATCTTTCTTACATTTCACCTTCGCTAGGTGACCTCAGAGACACAACTGAGAAGATAGAGATTAAAATGAACGAGGTTTTACAGAGGCTTAGTAGCCAGACGACCACAGTGGAAAAAAGCACAAATGAAGGTTGGTTGCTTGAAAGTGCTACTCACAGATAAACTGAACTATAAACAGGGATTCTGTTAACTTGAGTACATAACACATCTTTTGAGCATTACTACATCGTTCGCTTAATGTCGGCCAATTTTACATTTTTTTAGTTAATGTATTGTTGTAAGAGCACACCCTGGCTACCAATCTACTCTGGCTTCAAATGAAGATACTGAGTAATGTATGGAATGAGAGGGATGGCACGGAATCTGAGGCTATCTCTGGGATTGGATAATTTTCTGACAGTACTCGTACACATTTAGCCGAGAAGGTTATTGTCTTACTCTAGTTTTACTTTTGTTAAGGACATAATGAGAAATGAAAGGGCAGAAAGGCGTTCTTTGGTTTTTGTTAATTAGTTCCTACATTGTCTCTTTTGACCGACAAGAATCTTACTGAGACTATCGGCTCCAATGTTATCAATATCTATCTCCCGAGTTTCACTATTAGAAACCGCTGAAGCCGAGCCATAAGCTTTTTTAGAATGTTATTTAAAATTTAGAAAAAACCGAGGAAGGGAAAAGGATCTTTCTAGTTAACTTTTAATGAATAAAGTGACTCTCACTCGGACTAAAAGTTCCAATGTTATTCCACGAAAGGGTCTCTTGACGAAATGAGAGGCGAAATGGCAAAGATGGACAGCGAACTAAAAGAAGTGAAAGAAAAGCTGTCTACTTTGGCAGCCCCAGTGGGAGAAAGCAAGGGTGAAGGTTAGTTGAATTATACAATAAAAGTTGTCCTGCTTAACCGCAAATTTAGCCTTAGTAAACATGTCCTGTATGTAAGAGCGAGAGAGAGTGAGAGAGATAATCCTATGTTAAAGAGATTCAGCTCTTTAATTTAAACAATCTCTGGAATAGTCTCTGCGGTGTACTTTCATTCCCTTCAATTGTTTAAACGTTCACTCGTTATTAGCCTGGAAACATTATATTTTTATTAAAATGTAGAACGATGTAAAAATAACGTACAGTTTTAACGAAAATATTGACGTTAAGTTCGACTCGATGTTAGAAACTAACAGAGTGGGTTCGACTGAATTTATAATCTAAATGGCTTTTGGTCAGTAAATTAACATGAATCATACATTGATACCTTTTCATCGTCCAAGTAATTTCTTTGGCAATGGTGTCGTACTCGTTCACTTATTTAAATTCAGTGCCGAATACCTAGTGGCATTAGATGTAATCCGCATATTTCTGAATAAAATAACCAAACCCTTCCTGCACTCATATTGTGGAGTATTCAATTCTACATGGGAAAATAGCTGAATGAGGATCGTCTCGAGTAAAATAGGTTAGAATGAGATGTATGTGGTTATTTTACATTTCCTGAGGAAAGGACTGTTGGCAAAACCTCCCACTTCATAGCAGGCGAGCCTCCGGTTTTCTGCAGCACTTTTGATGAAACCGCGCGACAAAGAAGGCAGAAAGGCGTTGTTTGGTTTTCATTTATTAGTTCGTAGTCTCGCTATATTCCGAAAAAGCCTTGCTCAGACTACGGCTCCAATAATATGAATACTTATCTCCCGAGTAATTTATTTTACAACAGATTTTCACTGTCAGACATCGCTAAAAACGAACAAACAGAGTAGGTTCAACTTAATTGAAAATCTAAATGGCTTTTAAATTAGTAGGCATGAATCATACACTTAAACCTTTTGCATCGTCAAAGTAATTTCTTTGGCAACGGTATCGTACTCATTCGCATATTTAAATTCAGTGCCGAATACCAGAGATGTACCACAATTTTCAATGCTGCATTCATTAGATTTATTACCTATTTTGCTACTGCTAGGTGTTTTTGATCCAACTGAGCTTATCAATGGAATTCGCCAGCTGTACAAGACTCGCGAGGGATGGCTCTCACCATTTCCATGGTGTGAAGAGTTTCAGTTTTTTCTTGGCAATATTTTTACAAGGCTTAAAGTGGTCAGAAGAAAGAAAACGAGAGGAGAAATCACTGACGTATTTGTTGACATGTCGTCAATACTAGACCCGTATGAAGAGTGTTCAGCGCCGAGAACAGTGTTGATTGAAGGAGAACCTGGTATGGGAAAAACCACCTATTGTAAAAAGTACGTCTACGACTGGGCCACAAAACAGCAAGCACCTCAAGGCTGCGGCTCAACAGCATTTAAAGTGGTATTGTTGCTGAAATGTCGAGATATCCACTCTGACGTTTGGGAAGCCATTGATGATCAGCTGCTGCCCCTAGGCATCGATGAAAAAGTCAAAGAACAATTTTTTCAGTTTATTCGTGAAAATCAGTCCAGCATTTTATTGATATTGGATGGATTGGATGAGTTACCATCCGGGAAATTGTCGATGTTTTCCAAATTAATTGAAGGAAGAGAACTCCCCAGATGCCACATAGTTGCAACAGCAAGACACGAAGCTGGAAAAGAGGTGAGAAAATGTTGTGACGCGCTGCTTCAGATCGAAGGATTCACTATAAAGCATGTGAAAGAATTTGTCACCAAGTACTTTAAAGAAAGGACGGATTTAGCCACCAAGCTCTCGCAACGGATGTCGCGAGATAAAAACCTAAGAGAAATAGCGGCCAATCCTCTAAACACAGCACTTCTTTGCCTTTTTTGCGAAGAGTTTGAGGGCACACTCCCCGAAAGCAGAGCTCAACTGTACTTGGATATGGTTGAATGTGTTTTGAGAAGATATAGAAAAAGGAAGGGACTACTAGAAACGATCGAAGACTTGACAAACTATTACAAACCGCAATTGAATCACCTTGGAAAGGTAGCGTTGAATGGTTTACTTGACGATAAGTTGGATTTTAATGAAAGTGAATTGAGAAACCATGCAAAAGACCTGACTGAATTTGGATTTCTGTCAGTGCAGCCTGGTGGCAGCAAACTGAGACAAACACTGCATTATGCCTTCTTACATAAAAGTTTTCAAGAATTCTTTGCAGCACTCTTCATTTGTTCTCAGATTCAAAGCAAGGAAATGAAACCTGAAGAACTAGTTTCCGATCCAAGGTATTTCGTTGAACTTAAACAAATACTTTTGTTTTCATGTGGAATTTTGGCCATGAAATGCAATGAACAAGTTGTGGCTCTTGTAAAGAGTTTAACAAATGAAGTCAACAAAAATAAAGGATGTGGTACAAAAATTGTATTGGAAGCCATCAACGAATCTAAAAGAGAAAAAAGCGATTTTCACTCGTATTTATCGAAGTCGTTTGGAACTGGTTTGAATCTGACCAATTTGAATTTGTTAAATAATGATATTAGTGATGCGGGTGCTACATGTATTGCTGAGGCAATCAAAGTGAACAAGACGCTAACCAATTTGGATTTGTCTTTCAATGGTATTAGTGCTGCGGGTGCCACATGTATTGCTGAGGCAATCAAAGTGAACAAGACGCTAACCAATTTGGATTTGTCTTGGAATCGTATTAGTGCTGCGGGTGCTACATGTATTGCTGAGGCAATCAAAGTGAACAAGACGCTAACCAATTTGGATTTGTCTGGGAATGATTTTAGTGCTGCAGGTGCTACATGTATTGCTGAGGCAATCAAAGTGAACAAGACACTAACCAATTTGAATTTGTCTGAGAATGATTTTAGTGCTGCGGGTGTTACATGTATTACTGAGGCAATCAAAGTGAACAAGACGCTAACCAATTTGGATTTGTCTCACAATGGAATTAGTGCTGCGGGTGCCACATGTATTGCTGAGGCAATCAAAGTGAACAAGACGCTAACCAATTTGAATTTGTCTCGGAATCGTATTAGTGCTGCGGGTGCTACATGTATTGCTGAGGAAATGAAAGTGAACAAGACGTTAACCAATTTGAATTTGTCTGGGAATGATTTTAGTGCTGCAGGTGCTACAAGTATTGCTGAGGCAATCAAAGTGAACAAGACGCTAACCAATTTGGATTTGCGAAAGAATGGTGTTAGTGATGCGGGTGCTACATGTATTGCTGAGGCAATCAAAGTGAACAAGACGCTAACCAATTTGGATTTGCGAAAGAATGGTGTTAGTGATGCGGGTGCTACAAGTATTGCTGAGGCAATCAAAGTGAACAAGACGCTAACCAATTTAAATTTGCGAAGCAATGGTATTAGTGATGCGGGTGCTACATGTATTGCTGAGGCAATCAAAGTGAACAAGACGCTAACCAATTTAAATTTGCGAAGCAATGGTATAAGTGATGCGGGTGCTACATGTATTGCTGAGGCAATCAAAGTGAACAAGACGCTAACCAATTTGGATTTGCGAAAGAATGGTGTTAGTGATGCGGGTGCTAGAAGTATTGCTGAGGCAATCAAAGTGAGCAAGACGCTAACCAATTTGAATTTGTCTCGGAATGATGTTAGTGATGCGGGTGCTAAATGTAATGCTGAGGCAATCAAAGTGAACAAGACGCTAACCAATTTGGATTTGTCTTACAATTATCTTAGTGATGCGGGTGCTACATGTATTGCTGATGCAATCAAAGTGAACAAGACGCTAACCAATTTGGATTTGTCTTACAATTATCTTAGTGATGCGGGTGTTACATGTATTGCTGAGGCAATCAAAGTGAAGAAGACGCTAACCAATTTAAATTTGTCTGGGAATGATTTTAGTGCTGCGGGTGCTACAAGTATTGCTGAGGCAATCAAAGTGAACAAGACGCTAACCAATTTGAATTTGTCTGGGAATGATTGTAGTGCTGCGGGTGCTACAAGTATTGCTGAGGCAATCAAAGTGAACAAGACGCTAACCAATTTAAATTTGCGAAGCAATGGTATTAGTGATGCGGGTGCTACATGTATTGCTGAGGCAATCAAAGTGAACAAGACGCTAACCAATTTAAATTTGCGAAGCAATGGTATTAGTGATGCGGGTGCTACATGTATTGCTGAGGCAATCAAAGTGAACAAGACGCTAACCAATTTGGATTTGCGAAAGAATGGTGTTAGTGATGCGGGTGCTACAAGTATTGCTGAGGCAATCAAAGTGAACAAGACGCTAACCAATTTAAATTTGCGAAGCAATGGTATTAGTGATGCGGGTGCTACATGTATTGCTGAGGCAATCAAAGTGAACAAGACGCTAACCAATTTAAATTTGCGAAGCAATGGTATTAGTGATGCGGGTGCTACATGTATTGCTGAGGCAATCAAAGTGAACAAGACGCTAACCAATTTGGATTTGCGAAAGAATGGTGTTAGTGATGCGGGTGCTACAAGTATTGCTGAGGAAATCAAAGTGAGCAAGACGCTAACCAATTTGAATTTGTCTCGGAATGATGTTAGTGATGCGGGTGATACATGTAATGCTGAGGCAATCAAAGTGAACAAGACGCTAACCAATTTGGATTTGTCTCAGAATGGAATTAGTGCTGCGGGTGCCACATGTATTGCTGAGGCAATCAAAGTGAACAAGACGCTAACCAATTTGAATTTGTCTCGGAATCGTATCAGTGCTGCGGGTGCTACATGTATTGCTGAGGAAATCAAAGTGAACAAGACGCTAACCAATTTGGATTTGCGAAAGAATGGTATTAGTGATGCGGGTGCTACAGGTATTGCTGAGGCAATCAGAGTGAACAAGACGCTAACCAATTTGGATTTCTTTGGCAATGGTTAAACAACTTTGAAGTAGAAGGGCACTGCCTTTAAAGTAGGCAGGTACCCTTGAAAATTGAGGGCCATTCGATATGTCATTTCACAGTTTCCTTACAGTATTTTGAATTTTGTCTTGAAGAATCCGAAGAAATTTTTTTTAAGTGTCATTGCTTGGATCTCTTCACTCTGTGAAGAGTCGGCGAAAAGGACAATATTCAAATTTTTTCACTTTCTAGAAGCGCTTGAGGATTTTAAAGGAAGACAAAATACTTCCAATAGAAACTGGTATTTTTCAAAGAGAAATATGGAAAAATATCAGACTGCCGGACTTTTGGTTATTTGAAGACCGTGTCCGGTAGTGTCTGGTGAAAACTTTCTTAATGTCACGCTTGGATCTCTTCGCACTCTGTGTACAAGGTCAGCGAAACGGAGAACGTTGGCATTTTTTCACTTTTTAGAAGCGCTTGAGGATTGTAAATGAAGGTAGAATATTTTCCAATGAAAAATTAGTATATTTCAAAGAGAAATACGGAGTTGTTTGAGGACCGTGTCCAGCTGTGTCATTGAAATTTTTAAGTGTCAAGCGCTTCGATGTCTTCGTACTCTGTGCAGACTACAGACCGCAGACCGGGTACAAAATTCAGACTGAGAATTTTTACTGTTTTTTCGTCTGATACGTGATAACATGGCATCTTACAACTTACCGAGCGTCACGCAAGCGCTTTTCCGCTATCATCTTTCGCGATTATTTGCACTATTGTAGAATATTTCTTGTTTGTCTCTTGATCACAATCGTTCTTAATTTTTTTCAAGCCTCATTTAGTATTCTCATTTTGCGCACGAGTTGGTTGGCGTGATGTCTGTACAGAAGTTACCAACTTACTAAAAATAGATGTGGATGTAAATGGATGCCAATATTGAATATTTAACCTGCGCAATATTCGAGAAATTCATCTTTTTAACCGATATGTGTTCATTTTGTTGACAAAAATGCGAACCAAGACCAAAACTTTTCTTTCGACTTGATATATTTTCAACGTTCAGAAGTGTTCACACACTGATTTTCACATATGTGTCTTATATTGTCATTGGTTCTCATGAGAAACTGGAGAATTTTTATAGGGAAAAGCGGAGCGTTGCCCTCGTGACTGGCCATTTGTTAACTTTTTTGGTGGTTTTATCTCTCGTCGGTTTGGTGACTATGTGAAAATCAGATTATATGAAGACTTGAAATTCTATAAGGAACGATTGTGGCCGCTTTGTTAAAAATCAAATGCAATGGCCGCTTTGTTTAAAACAAAAGATATCAAGAAACGGGCAAGGAATATTTAATAGATAATTACTGCGGCAGTCAGCTTTATGAGATATATTGCAGCCAACTGAGGGCGTATTCTGCCTAATGACCTCTGCCCATCCCACCTCCAGCCCACACAAACTTTTTTCCAATTCCCATCACTACGAATGCACAAGTTTTCTTATCACACAACTGCCCAAAAATAAAAGAAAATTTATTCCAAAAGTCTTGAAAGTTCACATGCACCGAATTCATCTGCACCTATATTCAGCAAGTCCAAGAAATCAATTCAAACCTAAGCCATAAGATGAATGAGCTGGCTCCAAGAGCCCTTTGATTTTCATTACTTAAAAGTTTCGAGCGTCTCTCTTTCATTAAAACCAAGACAAAAAAAAACATTCATAGGCATTGTTTTTTTATTTCTGTTGCGAGCTGCAGAGCCATTCAAGGAAATTTGATCACTGAAAGCTTCCGGAACGGGAGGTTTGTGGGGTGGGGGGGGAGGGAATTGACAATAGGGGGGAGGTGGGAACACAATAGGGACGAGGTAAACAAAGTTGTTGTGGATAACTCTAAAATGGTAATGTGTGCCGGCGGATGCCTACTTCCGCAAAGGCCTAGTACTTAATGACGAGTCAGAAGAGCCCCAGATATGAAGGGATGATTGTCGATTTCCTACCTGTTTCAAGACCTTGGGGAAATTAGCTGGCTGCAGGAAGATCAGGATTGGCACCAATTATAAATTCTTTCATCGAAAGATTGCTGGATAGAACTTGGTCCAACAGACTGTAAACAACTCTTATAAAAATTTCTTACAAAGGAGCTCTCTTAAATATAGAGCTAATCATGTTTATCATGTTTATTCGATTAAACGCCGCGGCGTTTATTAAAATTTTCGTGATTCAAGTGCGATGTTTATTCGAGGGCGGCGTTTATTTAAAATTCAATTTACTTTTTGCAAACAATAGTATGGTAACTGACCATTTTAATTGTAAAAAACAAAAACACGTTCTAGTGCTTGTCCTCAATTTCACAATCTGCGTGTTAATACTACTGCAATACTTAATGTGAAATAAAGTGAACATAGTTCACCCAATTTCAATGTTTCTGTCCTCTTCATGATCCGAATCCAAAAGATATAATGACGGATGTGCTCTCTCAAAATCAGAACCGGTATGTCAAAGGGATTTGTGCCTTGCTTACTCAGAACTTGCAACTGCGATAGAAGCAATAATGGTGCACTGCCACAAGGCTGTCGTTCCTTGGGGCAGTGAATCATGTCGTCCACGGGAAGGTTCAACATGCAGCTCGAGAGAGTTTTTTTTTTTATAACCTCTGTGGGTAGCTCTGCTCAAGAATCAAGAATTCACTCCAAAATGGTACTTTTCGGGGATAAGTTCAAATTTCAGCAGCTGTTTCTTCGTGAATTCCCACGGTACCCAGCCAATCATTCCTTTTAAGTGCAAGTGGACTTGAACGGCTTGTTCCAAGAAACGTCCGGTGCCTGGATATACTTGGTGGACCCTTCTGGCACTATTACTTGATCGATCTTTTTTTTTTCCGACTGCAATACGTAAGCAATACTATCTTCAGTTTTGCAGTCGAAGAAGTTCCAGGCTAATAGCAATCAACCACCAACCTGTATTTCATTGCCCTTGGGCCTGTTTACATGAATGTGGGGACCCCAGGTAGGTGAGGTGACCCGCCTAACCGTGGGCTAAAAATAGCCAGCGTTTACATACAATCTTACAACCCCGGGATGCCAGGATGAAGTTTCTCGAGGTTGTTATCACACTAGCAATTAAGGAGTTTAAGATGTCACTAGGACGTGTCGTAAAAACGTTGCAGAAAAAACGTAATTAATTTTCCTCTAAGATTTTGGCCAATAGCTCGATGCGTAAACCGTTTCTGACAGTACAACGTCTTCACTCTGGCATAACGTGTGAATGTAGTGTTGAGTTAAAAGTAAAAACGTGACTAAATCGCTGTCGAGGTTTTATTGCTAAGTGGATGTAAAATTGATGTTTTAACGTTTTAGTTCTGCATGGGAAGACCAAGAAATGTACAAAGTCTTAACACACTCGTGTTTCGTTGTTGTTTTCCTTATTTGATCCTTTTGTAACATTAACCGGCGCCTCGCGTGGGCGGGTTAACCGACCTTGAGACGTTTACATGGCAATGTTGCCCCCTTGCTGACAGGGTTACCCTACCCAGCAGACTGGGCAACCCGCCTAGACGGGTCGCCCCACCTATCATGTAAACGTGATCAAGATGAAATAATAGATTATATGGACAGGCGGGTTACCCAGCTAGGCGGGTTACTTCACCTATCTGGGGCTCCCCATCTCCTTGAAAACAGTCCCTCAGTAGTCATCGGTCTGCTTTTTTGAGTCTATTATTCGAATAAGAGTCGCGTAATGATTTGGCATTTATTCGGGGGCGGCGTTTATCAATATTTTTGCTTTAAAATACGGCAGTTACTCGAGGGTGTTTCATCGAATATAACGTAAACCGACTCATATAATGCTCATAAAAAATTGATCGATTCTAAAATAGAACAGGACAGTTGTACATGCATTTTAACCCTCTCGATGAGCAGTTTGGTGTACAGTTAAACATGATTTATTTCTGTGTGATTTGTTGAGGACCGACATCTTTCAGTGTACCAATCTCAATCAGCGAAATAGACCAGTTTGTGCGCACGTATACACTATAGTATATGAAGAAGCCTAGAACTTAAGAGAAGTCAGTAATTTTCAAGAATCCAGCGACACAAGCAAAAAATTCAACTTTTTTTATTTGCTCCAAAAGGCCCTTTTGGTGAATTGTTTTCAAAAATAATATTCAAAAGTTCCAGCGAGTTTTTATTTTGGCAAAAAATACGAAAGTTCGAAATCGGCCAAAACGTACCTAATTTGCATAATTTATATCGGGCTTTCAGTGCATTTTCACAACGCTCGTACTAGACAACGAAAAATTATCTTGGATTCATTTTTTTCATCCCTTGGAATAGCTCTCCAACTATATTTCCTCTCCAACTAAACTTTCTTTCGTTTGTAACCACCCGCGTAAAGTACATTATATTTTGTATTCCGTTTGTACGCTGAATTTTGCCATATTTCAGACGACCATAACATCGGGGGTATACGAATGTACATAAAATAAAAGAGCTCTTTTCAACGAGAAATTCTTCATGTTTATCATTAAAAAACATTATTTTTGGCCCGTGAAAAGCGAGCGCGCCAGACCAAAATATACAGCGTGCATTTTCACGGAGTTCGGCTATTTTCTTTGCTGTATTCCTATTGCAAATCACACGCTATTGGGACGAAACTCGAAGTGTTTGGTCTGAAGTTTGAGAAGCACTATGCAAGGTGCACGGATTTGGCAGGGAACAGGGGATTAAGTTCAGATGATAAAACAAAGTATTATGTTGACAGAAATACCATAGGTCTAGTATATTCGTTACATCATCACTCTCCATGTGAAGATTTGACCCGAAGAAAGCGCAGGTACATACAGAAAATTAAAGTTATTCAATCTGTAACTTAAACTTCAGTAATCGGTTGTTGACGTACGGTATTTCACACGCGTAAATGTGTATAATTATGAAAATTTTAACACGAGCCTTTGGAGGTAAGCGTATGTTGAACATATATTTGATACATTAGCTGCCTTTTTCTCTTTTCAGGACGGTTGCTTAGCCTCATTACGTGCCCTGGGCGTAA